TATATTTTAATATTATCTAAATATGTATCATTATCATTTTCTTTAATAAAATCAATATATACTCATTTTTTTACTTAATCAGTTAGTCTTTTCTCACATATTACTTTATGAAAAAATATAATAGAGCTTTATTTTAATTTTAAAAATTTACATATGTTTATTTTACAAATAATATATAATGCTTATATTACATTTATTTTAAAGAATTACAGCACTTATATTTGTATATTTTACTATTCATATATTTTTTTCAAACAGGTTATTCTACATAAAGTTTTAAAAAATAAATTTATAAATTAAAAAGAATCTAATCCTTCTTTTTTGAATTATCTCTATAATTGATAGTGATATTTATCACATTCGCATTTTAGAAAAATGAAGAAATTATAGATGTTATAAGCCTAGAAGTTGTTGCTATTTTCACAGATAGTGTCATTGATCTTGATATAGGAGAAGAATTTTTAAATAATTGTTTAATATTTGATGATTTCTCTGAAAATGATTTTAATTCTTTTCTTGATGCTATTTCAGGTCTAGAGATTGATAAGTGAAATAGTAAACTTACTTTGCTTGATTTCCTAATATTCTCATTATATACTTATTTGAATGGTGATTCTAGCAAATAATAATGGATATGTCTTATTAATAAAGATGGTATTGAAACTAGTTGCAACCATATGATGCTTATTTGTTACTAATTACAACTAGTTGCAACTCTGAGATACTTATTTATCACTAATTGAAACTAGTTTCAATGTCATCTTTACTTATTAATAATGAAAAACCCTTTTAAAATATTTTTTCTTAAAATACAATTATCTATTTTTTTTCAGAACTTCATTAAAAACTCCTCATATAACTTCTTTTCAATCAAATTTCTTTTATTTTCAATTCTTTCTCTATATTTTTTCACCATTTATAAAATAATAAATATATTAACCAGATAGGTCTTTGTAGAATGCAAGTAGTATCAAGCATTCACCTAATACTACTTATATAAAAAGTTTTTGTGAGACTTAAGAATTTTTATGGTATTTCTTGCTGGTAAAATAATTGGTATTTTTTTGATCGTTTATTTTTTTAGCAATGTTATTCCAAAAGAAATATTTCTTTTTATTTGTGATAGTATAGTTAGTATTCAGCATTTCTCTGTTTTCGTTCATCAATGAGAATACAAAACTAGGTATCAGAGAACTCTATAGTTGTCTTTTTTTTTACATGATGAGAAGATTCTTTAGAGTCTGTTTTATAAAAAAAATATCAAGTAATATGTTAGAATTATGGTAAGAAAAATTAATTTAATTAATATAATGATTAATCAAATAATAATGGTGGCTTAGCTATGTCAATAACTCAAGGGAGGTGAAATCTGATTGGCTGATCATCTACAATTAAATCAAATTGTTTATGTTTAAAATATTTATAAAACATAAGTTTACTACATAGTAATTTTCTGATTGGTTGATCATCACGTTATTCGATTGGTTAATTTATGTGACGTCAGAGATTGATATAAATTTTTCATTGATTAAAAAATTTTTCCTTCTCTTTTTCAATTTCATAATTTCGTTGCAGAGTTAAAAGGTATGATTTAATTAAATCAATGTAATCCATCCTCATTAAATAAAAAATTCAACTTTTTTTCTAATAACGATTATAATTTATAGGCACACCATGGCCCTTCCTGCAGAAATCTATAACGAAACTTCACAAGGCACTCGGTTATTCAACAAATGGAATTACGATGATGTTGAGGTTAAGGATATATCATTGACAGATTATATTCAAATTCGAAACCCAGTATACTTACCACATACTGCTGGTCGTTTTTCTACCAAGAGGTTTAGAAAGGCTCAGGTATGACAATAATTTTTTTTTTTTTAAAAAAAAAATGAAAGAATTTTTTAAATTCTTTGATTATTATAATGAGCATTTCCAATTGAAATGAAGAAGACGCGTATAAAAATTGATGATTCCAATTACGTTTATTTAGTGCCCTGTTGTCGAACGGTTAACAAATTCACTTATGATGCACGGTCGTAATAACGGCAAAAAATTAATGGCTGTTAGGATTGTAAAACATGCATTTGAGATCATTCATCTGCTAACTGATCAAAATCCTATTCAAGTTTTAGTTGATGCCATTATTAACACTGGTCCACGTGAAGACTCAACCCGTATTGGTAGTGCTGGTACTGTAAGAAGACAAGCTGTTGATGTGTCTCCTCTTCGTCGGGTGAATCAAGCTATCGCTCTTTTGACAACTGGAGTAAGTGCCGAAATTTTTTTTTTGGAAACCATTTTTTAAATATTTTTTTTTGATTACGATTACTTATTATTTATTGGTGATATAACTTAGACGCGTGAATCAGCTTTCAGAAATGTTAAGAGTATTGCAGAATGTTTGGCTGATGAACTTATTAATGCTGCTAGTTTGTGTTTATTTTTTTGTGAATTACTTTTTTTGCAAAGCAAAAATATTTTGTTAATCATATTTTATATTACAGAGGGAAGTTCAAATTCTTATGCTATTAAAAAGAAAGACGAACTCGGTAAGACAAGTTATGATTTAACCTTATATCTATAATTTTCAAGTTTATTAATTAATTTGTTTTTATTCTTATACTAGAACGTGTTGCTAAGTCCAATCGTTAAGGATGTTTTAATGCTTAATTTTCAATAAACCATTTAGGAAAGTTGTGTTACAAAAATTTAATCAGAAGGGACGAATGAAAAATATTTAAAGACTTAATAAAATTCATTTATTTGTTATTTTACAACAAAAGGACAATAAATTAGAGTGAAATTTAGTATTTTTAATTGTTCAAATGTCGCATATTTACCTGAATAGCTAACCCACAAATTCCTAGAATTTTGGATTGGTAAAGGCATAATTTGCTTTATCTGAATTCTGTCAGAATTTTAAGTTATTCGTACATAACAAATTTCTATAATTTAGCTTTTATTGGTTTCAAATGAAGACCAGACCACCTTTTCGAAAGTAACTTTACGATATTTCTACTTGATACACATTCTGTTTCCATAGTCTAAAAGTAAAAAAAAAAAAAAAGTTAAAATTAAATGTTTATCTAAAAGAAAAACAAAAAAGAAGTTAAACATACCGAAATGAAAGGCTCATAAGAATTTATATAGAAGAAACCGTCAACAGGTTCCAATTGTGGAAAAGTTTGATTGGGTAAAAGTTTAGGATAGCTATTCCATACTTTACGGAAAGTCCAAGAACGATTGGTGTAAAGTCTGTCAAGCATCTCATCAGATAACTCTTGGTGCGAAAATAACTTAACGACAGTTTCTCCATTTGGAAGTTGCAATTTTCCTCCAAAACTAAGAAATTCGCATTTCCCGCTGTTGGTCGTCACTATTTGATTAGGTACCTCTTCAATTTTGGTACGACCAAAGTAGGCCGGATTAATGAATCCCACAACTAAAGTGACGTGGAGTTCTACATATGGAATTTCTTTAATTTTAAAATCCATATTTTCAAATTCAATTCCGGTAAATTGCTGCATGAATTTAATTATGTATAATGATTAGAAAGTTCTTAAAAATTACGAAATTTCCCAAAATTATAAAGAAAAAAGTTTTTACAATTGGAGCGGCCAAAATAATTGCATCGTATATTTCAGAAGAACCATCACTTGATTTTACTGCATATTTCACATCATTCATGATACCTTTGTGTGATGGCAATCTTGTAACTTTGGTTATTTTTGTATTTAATTTCAAATTGGCACCAGAGTGTTCGATAAACTTTTCAAAAAGTTTGAAATTTCCCCCCTTAATACCTTTCGCTCCTTCAGGTGCTAAACTAATAAAGGCTCCCATTGCGTGAATTTCTGCTAAATTCTGGCCATAATTAACACGGGTCAATGGTTCGACAAAATGTTGAAGATAAAGCTGATTAATATTTTTCAATTCAGAGAAGTAATATTGAGCACTGTATTTTCTTTCTTTGTCTAGTCGAAGACGCTCGGCTTCCGCATCGACACTAATAAAAGGCTCATCATATTTATACTCTTCCAAAAACTTTCCGATAATTTCTTTTACCAGATTTTGAACCTTATTAATAGTAATAGTATATCACGTGATTAACCAAAGTTTTTAAATAACAAAAAAATTTTACAGTTTGGTCGTACTTTCTTTGGAGCCCATCCATACTTCCAAAAAAGTTTCACGATATCCCAATATGAACTAAAAGATTGTTCAAAGACAAATTCTTCGCCGTTCCAACTATTGAAATGATAGGGATTAGATTTGATCAACACGTGCCTTAAACCATGATCACTTACATTCCCATTTTCGAGTTTTCTAATTCCTCTCCATATTTTATAAATTCCAATCCAAATTTCTTCGCATTCTCTACCAAGTGATAATTAACATCAACAAAAATTGATGCTCCTAATTCAATGGGAATATTTATATCATCGCGTTCAAAATTTATAACATTGACCCGCCCACCAACGATTGATGATTGTTCATAAATCGTAGTATTAATTTTTACAGATGAATTTGCGAAAGCTTCTGAAACCCAATAAGCAGCTGAAGAACCACCCGCACCAGCACCTATCGGATAGAACAATAATGCGATTGAGTAATTGACAACGTTAATAATAATTCAGAAGGTAGTAAATTTACTTGCCAATTATTGCAAGTTTTTTAACGTGTTGGCTTTGCTGAGGTACTTCAAAGTAAGCGAACTGCTCCGTAAAGGTCAATGTAATGTAACATGCAAGTATCAAATAAAAAATGAATACCGGGTGCAATAAATTTCGACACTTTAAGGCAACCATTGTGAGAACCCGAAAAAAACGTTAATAGAGATAAATCGAGTGGTCTTTAAAGTACCGCTTAAAATCATCTGACTTTATGTATGAACATACATGAATGAAATCAACCAATCAAAAAATCGGAATTTTTTGTAAAGCCTAAAATAGAAAATACAACATTCTAGCTTTTTTATTTTTTTTTAAAAAAAAAATATGCCACCTATTAATCCACTTTTTCCTCGTAACTATAATACTCCTCGAATTCTTTCACAATCACAACCTAAACCCGTACCTTCAGAGGACCCAAAAGATTGTACTTTTTGTAAAATTATATCAGGACAATTATCGTGTGTGAAAGTATTTGAAAATGAAGAAGTATTAGCTTTTCTAGGTAATTATCTAAATTCCACAAAAAAAAAAAAGAGATCCAAATATTCTTAATTAATTCTTTTATAATTCAATTATTTTAAGACATAGCACCAATTTCTAAAGGTCACACTTTAGTAGTTCCAAAAACTCATATTCCTCGATTAACTTTAGCCCCACCTTCGATAATGTCTTCTTTAGGCTCTGTGTTACCCCAAATCTCAAATGCCGTAATCCAAGGTGTTGGCGCTAAGGATTTTAATTTGCTTCAAAATAATGGAATTATTGCAGGTCAAGTAGTTTTTCATTTACATTTCCATATTATACCAAGATTTAAAAATTGGGATGGTAGAGATGTAGGAAGATTAAGAATAAGTAAAGATGAAAGTGAAAATATTGGTAAAGAAATAAGAGCAAAATTATAAAATTTTATCTAAACAATTATTGTTTGATCGTAAAGTCCTTGACTATAGAAATGTTCCAGTTCTGAAATTGCTCTAAATAAAATTTTAAACTACATAGTATCGATATCTAATCGATAGTTTGAATTTAATTGGATAAATATCACGTGATATATTTATGATCTGCATAATACAAAAGTCGCGTTAAAAATATCGTAATCAGACAGTTTGGACACACTTTTCTCTCCAAACCTTGTTCAAAGTCCAAACCCTTTTCCTCATCAATGATATTCTTCACTCGTAACTTAGAATGAATTTAGGTAAGCAAAGTATACCTTTCCTTCTCTTAGTGGGAACCTTCCCTTGATGGGATGCTGTTTACCTTCTCTTTACGAGATACTACCGCTACTTTAGTTTTTATTACATAGCACGTTTCAATTAACTGCTTATTTCTATCTTTAGCCCCAAAATATAAAGGACGCCTCTGTTGCGGAAACCTGAATTATCTGTGATGTTATATTGACTACACAAGACTGTAGAACATTCCATTTGAACATGTAATCAAATTACAGCATGTTGGGTAAGCACTTTTATGTTTTAATGTTGTTTTTTTGAAAAATTCATTCATACACTTTTATATTAACTTTATAATCTATTGTTTTTATATTAGATGTCGAGGAAGTTTATTATGGGCCTGTAAATAAACTGTACTGACGAAAGTGTTTCAGCCAATCATAACTCATTGTACACTTTTTAATTTTTTATATTTAAAATATGATTGGTTGTTATCATTCATCCCGAACAAGAACAGTCCCATCCCAAGGAGCAACTCATCCTGAACACGAGCAATCCTATTCTAAGGAGCAACCTCATCGCAGTCCGTGTCACAACAAAAGAGAAAATTGTCGATGATGTTGATGATGTGTCACAATATAAGGTATTTAATTGCAATACTGATATGAACTTTTTATGAAAAGAAACAGAAATATTCTTCTAAATGGAAGAATTAAAAACAAAAGTAATCGAGACACAAGCTGAATTGTTAAAAGCTCAGAAAGAGATAATAAAATTATTAAGGAAGGAGTAATTGGTATTTAGCATGTTCTTCTAAATTTTTAATATATTATCACCAATCAAAGAAGTTGAGCAATAACGGGTGATTTTTTTTTTTATATAGATCGAATTAAATTTGCTCAATGAAAACTATACAGTCGACCCTCTCTATAATCACACTCATATATAGTCACGCCCCCCTTATTTATAATCACACCATTTTTTTCGGTCCCGAGGGGTGTGACTATCGAGAGGGTCGACTGTATGTCGTTATCTATTTTAATATCTACGTCATCGCAATATAATCACTCAAATTTAATTTCGCTTGATATCTGCATTAATAAAAATTGTAGGGGAGATAGAACTATGAAAAAACCCTCACTCATGATAAATAATAGAGGTGTACTTCGGAATTATAAAGAGTTTAGTTTTTTGTTGAGATAATATAAAAATGCTAACATAATTTGGAAATTTATCGCGTAGTTATAAATAAAGGCCTTTTCTTTATACAACAAAAAAAAAAAAATTTGTCAAAAAGTTTCAACTCTTCCCATTTTGTAAAATCTTAGGAATAATGTATATAATAAAAATTTTTTTTTTTGAAACGATTATTTTTTCACAACAAAAAAAGCGAAATATGGGAAAGTTTTGACAATATTTTTTTTTAGATTTGGAGTTGCGATTGAATCTTTTTTTGGAAGTTTTAATATGGATGACTTAATGAAAAGAAAAAAAAAAAAATTGAAATCGATAGAATCAAGAACAATAACAAAATTCTGGACAAAAATGAAAAATTTATCAATTCAATTATAATAATATTACTAGGAAACGGGGACCGTTGTGAGTCCTGAGCGAATTATTGGACGAAAATCGCGTGGCGGACAGAGAAACGTTCACATGACCAAAATTTAATCAATGCACAGAAATATATAGTCCTTCGCTTCGCTCAGGACAATAAAATTTTATCTTTTCATCTTTTAGGCTGGCGATTACGAAGCTGCAGCTGCCGCCGAATTGAAAAAGAAGAGAACTTTTAGAAAGTACTCTTATAGAGGAGTTGATCTTGATCAATTATTA